GAGGATCAGCAGCATCGAAGCCCAGCTGGGTGACGTGCGGGCTGACATCGAGCGACAGAACCTGGAGTACCAGCAGCTCATGGACATCAAGTCTCGGCTGGAGCAAGAGATCGCCACCTACCGCAGCCTGCTTGAGGGCCAGGACGCCCACTACAACAATCTGCCCAACCAGCTCAATGTCTGAGTGCGAAGGCTCCTGGGCTCCTGTCCTCCTGCAGAGAGAGGCCCCTGGGCAGGGACAGGGGAGGGAAGGGACCTTACCCTGGCTCTATCCCCGACCTGCCAATAAAACTTTATGGCCCCAGGGAGGAAGGATGTGTGGTTGTTATTTCAGCCCATGGAGAGATGGGGCAGGCTTTGGCCCTGTTTAGGTTTTATTTGAAACAAAGTCCACTCTGTCCCAGGAAAGGGAAGGGAGGGCAAGGGCGCTCAGGTCCTTTTGCTGTGGTGATAATTCCTGTTTGCATGTCTTTAAGCATTTCTTCTATTCTATAGAGGGGTAAACTAAGGTTTAGAGAGGCGAAGGGGTTTGTTGCATGGTAACTGCTCTAATAATGGCAAAGGTGGGGTTTGAAACTGTGGTTCCAGATTGAGTTCTTTCTGTTGTACTCTCTTGGGGGTTGGGGAGAATGAGTGTTGTGTGTGTGTGTGTGTGTGTGTGTGTGTGAGAGAGAGAGAGAGAGAGAGAGAGAGAGAGAGAGAGAGAGAAATGAATATTTATTGAACATCTACCATGTGCCATGAAATCAAAACAATCTTAAAAGTATGAGCTGCATTTTATATATCAGGAAACTGGCTCAGATAGTTGAGTAACTTGTTCAAGGTCACATAACAAGTATATTTATGCCACAGCCAGAATTAGAATATATGCTTCCTGATACTTAGTGCGTGGCGTCACTCCTGCCCAGGTGGTCTCTTAAAGTTGACATCATTTGTGCCAGTCTTGCTCCATATGAAGGCTCTGGACTGGGATCCTCTGGGGTGGTTCCTCCCAACACATTTCTCCTAACCTAAACTGGGGCTTTGGGGTTAAATATTCCGCTGGCTGGAGAGGTTGTCCCTATCCCTGTGTGCTTTTGTTCCTGCACTAACACATTTATCCTTCCTGGGGCAACCCTGCATAATCCCCTTACACCCACTAGCTCCTGCCTGGGCCCAGAGACTGGAATGGGACCCGGCTGTGACCCAGACCTCCCATACAGACCCCCAACCTGGCTTGCCTGGGGCCTGCCAGGGACCAGCAAAGGCACCAAGTCCCAGCTTCCTGGTATGGCTCTGCCCTTGGGTGGGTATGGTCCTGCCCCTGTGGTTTACAGCTCAGCTGTCAAGAACTGAGGCCAAGTCAAGGCAATCAGAGGCCCACAAATCAGTCCCACTTCCCCTGGGCGGAGGGCTTCCCGATGAGCTCTCCATGACAGAAGGCTGACCTGTGGAGGTGGGGGCAAGGGACCCACCTCACACCTGCATCCTACTTCTATAGGAAAACTGATGCTATCCTCGCTGCCCTGTGCCCGGGACACCGCCAAACCTCACGTGGATCCCGAAGGGGGTGTTAACGCCTCCATTTCCTTGCAGATCTCAGAGAGGCCCCCTAGTTTGACCATGTGCCCCAGAGTCCAGTTCTTCCTTGGCATTGTGCAGCCCCGGGGCAGCCCTTCTGCCCTCTCTGGGCTGTCCTCTCTGACCTCCAGGCCCCTCCAGCCCCTTCTCCCATTTAATGTCTCAGGAAGGTTTGGAGCAGGAGGCAGAGGCCTGGCCACATCCCCAGGCTGGGACTGTGCAGAGATTCTGGTCCCTGCCCATGAAAGCCTCCCTTGTTGTCCCAGCTGAAACCCTCACTCTGCCCAGGGGCCCCTGGAATGTGGCTTGGGGCGGGGTCTGGGCGCACACAGGTGCGGCCAGCTGGTGACTGGGTCCAGGTCTGGGTGTTGGAAATGAAGCCTTCCTTTGTGTTCTCGGGGTGAGGGGCAGGGCAGGAAAACTCTTCTGTCTCAGTCTGGGAGCTGCACCTGAGGAGACCTGGGTCAGGAGACAGAGGGCGCTGGGGTCTTTCCCCTCACTGCTGTTCATCATGACTGCTCCAGCACTTAAAGCGTTTCCTGTCAATCATCTTGGTCTAGCTCTGTAGGGCCGGCTGGGCTGGAATTATTTCCATTTTCCTGATTGGTAGACTGAGGCTCAGGGTAAGGCATCTTATCCAACACCACATGCCTGGAAATTGGGAAAGGAGAAACTCAAAGGTGAGTCTTTAGCCCCCAGGTCGTGTGTTCTATCCCTGGCACAACCCTGGGGAACAGGAGTTGTGTGAGTAGGATCTAACGTTTATGGGAACCTCCTTCCTATGTGCTCTTAAATGTTCACTAGGGCCCTGTGGCTGGGGTCAGTGTTAATAGCTTCATTTAAAATCAGGAACCAGTCCCAGAAGCTGAGTCATGCCCAGAGGTGGAAGCCAGCCAGGGTCTTTCCACTGAGCTGCATGGCCCCATTTCAAGGAGGGACTGTCCAGCTTCAGGGATGCCTGTCTGGCTACAGTGGGCAAAGGACAGAAACTGGCACACAGCAGCCTGGGTCAGAGCCAGGGAGCAATCCTGGCAAGGCCATCCTGCCTGGCGCTAATGAGGAGGCCCTAGGGGCCCCGCCCAGACCTTGATTGCAGTCGCTGTTTGGACTGAAATTAAGGATTTGCAACCAGGACAGCAAGGAGCCAGCTTCCTCCCCTGGCCTGGGCTGGAGAAAGAAGGGAAAGCCTTATGAGGGGCTGCTGGAGAAGAATCGGGGTGCAGAAGGGGAGCTGGCTGGGGTGCAGACTCCCTTACCCTGGGGCAACGGCCGAGTAATTGTTCTGGGTTAATTGCAGGGGCCGCCATGTCTGCAGAAGCTTTAATGAGCTCTGGCTGATCTGGCCTTGATTATTTTTCTTTCGGAGGAAAAGGCAATATCCTCCCACCCATGAGACAATACTACCCTGTCTGGGCCAGAACTTGGCGGCCTGGGTTCCTGTGTGAAGCTGGGTCAGGAGGAGTCCACCCCATCCACCCAGACCCGCAGTGGTCCCTTCAACCCAGCTCAGATGCAGGAATTGGAGTCTGAGGGAGGGTGTTCTTTTCCTGTGCCCTGCTTCAGGAGGGGTCCGAGGACCTATCTGGGTTCCAGTGGAGACCCTTGCTAGCTGTGCCATCTTGCACAAATTGCTTCACCTCTCAGAGGGCCAATTTTTATCCCTTTTAAACTTGGGCAGGGGTCATCCTCTGTGTGTGGGGATGGATTAAAGGGGACAGTGGATACAAAAGTGCTTTTTAAATCATGAAGTATATGGTAGCAGTGGATTACGTTATTACAGCAGAACTAAGATCCACTTTTGTTGCTCAGTTGGAACTGGCGCAGGTGGGTGATGCTGCTAAGCTTGGAGCATGATAGGCTCACAAGGTAAGATTTGATGCCCACGGACAAAGGCCCTCCTGGTGAGGGTATGGGGGAGTCCCAGGTGCTGGATGTGCAGTCACCACTCTTACTCAAATGATGAGAGCCAGGGGAGACAGGCTGGGGCTCTTGGGTCTTAGTGCTTCCCTGGAAGTGTTAGCTGCCAGTGCCCAGTGCCATAAAAAGAACATGTCTAGAGTTTCATCTTCATCATTGATAGGTGCAGGATTTGAATCTAGACCTCAGGACCTCAGAGCCCTGTCTGTTCTTGGGTGCGGCCACCCCAGCCCAGAAATCTTCCTCCCTGTTCTTCAGCTTAGTCTAGCTCATCTCTACATTCTGTAGGCCAAGGGGGGGCAGGTCATACATCTAAGTGATGCTATCCACAGGTACCAGTGTCCTTGGAAAGTGGTGACCTGGAGCTGGCGGGCTGAGGAAATGTGTCTCCTGATTGCTCGACTGACCTTCTGTGTAAAGTGAAGCCTTGATCTTCGAGGTCTCTGGTGCCTTCCACCTGCTCGCCAGGCCTCCCCACCCTTCCTTCTCCACAATGCTCAGGCGTGCAGAGTTTTCTGGCTTCATCTCTCTTGAGCCTGCAGCAATTGACAGGACAAATGGGGGTTAATCTGACCCTGTTAAGCAGCGACATGCCTCTCCCTGGAGAAGGCAGGGGCTTCTTGGAACTTGCCCCAACCTTATCTGCGGAGGTTTGCCCCAACGCGTCCCGTCTGGGAGCAAGCAAAGGTTCAGTGACATGCGAATTTGGCAGGTGGCTGGATTATCAATCAGCCCCTTGTCAGCTCTGAGCCTGCTGGGCCTTTGTGAGCTAGCCAGGGACATGGGGCTGGAAGCTGGGGGTTCTGGAGAAGCAGGCATGGGCATCCAGGGGAGCAGAGATGGGAAGAAAAAAAGTCCGTTTGCAGCACCAGGGACAGATGCTCACCCCCCTGGTCACCTCAGCCAGAACTTAACTCATGTCTCCCTCTCCTGTCTTTAGTCTGTCCCCTGAGTCCTACATTCCCATCCTCAGGGGCCTGGGCTCCCTGTGTCCTGCAGGCTCATGCACATAGTCTTTGAATGAGAGAACACGGAGTGGTGACTTGGAGTGGGGTGCTGTCCACCCTGGGCCAGGGCAACAAAGTTTAGCTGAGGGCACAGCAGCTTCCCTGCTCTAACGGGATGGGCAGAGGCTGTGGGAGCTGAAACGTGCTGAGAGTTTGCTCTCTGCCGCTCTTTCTCCTGGGGTGGAGAGAGTGAACCTGTAATCCAAGTGTTAAAACTGTGGCCGCGGGGCAAAACACCATTACTTCTGAATCATCTCTTTTGTTGCATTGAAAAAAAAGAAAGAAAGAAAAACTGTACACGAGCCCTGTGGAGGTGCGCAGGCAGCTGTGTTTGTCAGGAAGGCAGAGGAGTTGGCTTCGCTCTGGGGGAGGAGACAGGCCCACAGCACCCTCCGAGGGGTATATAAGGAGCCCAGGCTGGGGGCCACGGGCACTGCGCTCCAGGTCCAGCCCAGCCCGCACCTCCTGCCTGTGCCTTTCTGCCTGCTGAGAGCTCACCAGCACTGCTGCCCAGCCATGGCCACCACGTTGCTGCAAACTTCTTCCTCCACCTTCGGGGGTGGCTCGACTCGAGGGGGCTCCCTCCGGGTTGGGGGAGGGGGCTTTGGTGGAGGGAGTCTCTATGGTGGCGGTGGAAGCCGTAGTATCTCGGCCTCTTCGGCCAGGTTTGTCTCCTCGGGGTCAGGAGGGGGATATGGGAGTGGCATGAGCTGTGGCTTTGGTGGAGGGGCTGGTAGTGGTTTTGGTGGGGGTTTTGGTGGTGGCTTTGGTGGGGGTTTTGGCGGTGGCTTTGGTGGGGGTTTCGGTGGTGGCTTTGGTGACTTTGGTGGTGGCGATGGTGGCCTCCTCTCTGGCAATGAGAAGATCACCATGCAGAACCTCAACGACCGCCTGGCCTCCTACCTGGACAAGGTGCGCGCCCTGGAGGAGGCCAACACCGACCTGGAGGTGAAGATCCGAGACTGGTACCAGAAGCAGAGCCCTGCCAGTCCGGAACGTGACTATAGCCATTACTTCAAGACCATTGAAGAGATCCGGGACAAAGTAAGTCTTCAGATGTCAAAGAGAGGGGAGCAGGTGGCTGGTGGCCTGTGCACGTCTCTGACTCAGTGTAACTGCTGGCTGGGGAGATCCTCTCCTGCCCAGGCAATGACTGTCTGCAGCGTAACCTTGGCATACTTGAGAAGCACCTGCTTTCCAGGTGCAGATGCTGGTACACATTGCTACACTTGGCAGTTTGCAGGGAGGGAAGGATCTTGGGAATCATGTTAGGGCAAATGGGACACAGGTGGGGGCGATTATAAAGAGCAACTCACCTTCCCTGTCCCAGACACCTTGCAGGGTTTGCATGAAAAGTGTTCTTCTACCTTCTTGGCAGAGATGGTGTTGTAGTATAACCTTATGATCTCTAAATGCCAGGACGTCCAGCCTCACGTTTTAAGGACCACCTTTAGTGCCAAAAGCACCTTCAGGACTTAGGAGAACTGGGAACTCATGATAGGCTCTGCCATCCCCTACCTTCTCTTTCACTCCCTGGGACCAATTTCCTCATCTGTAAAATGCTTTTCTTAGCCACTCTTCAGGTTCTCACTGGCCATAATACTTGGTCAACCTATAGCTCTGTCAAGGGGTACAGGAGGCAGAGACCATGAGCTATGCCCCAGGAGGCTGCAGACAGATCCCTGAGAGGGCTGTTGAGGGAGCCGACCACACCCCTCTCTAGCTTGAACCTGGCCAGCCAATTCTCATAGGGATTCCTTGATCTTCCCTCCTTGGGGACAGGGAGGGGTCCCAGGGAGGGGGCAAAGGCACTGGAGATGAGGCCTGACTCTGTCTGTTCCCTGGGTTCTACAGGTTTCCACTGGTGGTGTTGGAGGGGAGGGTGTTGGTGAGGGGTCCTACCTTGCGTGCAAGGTGGGACATCAGCAGCCCTGAGAAACAACTTGGCCCCCTGCAGATCCTGGCTGCCACCATCGACAACTCCCGGGTCATCCTGGAGATTGACAATGCCAGGCTGGCTGCAGACGACTTCAGACTCAAGTGCGTTCCCATCACCCTCTCCCCTCCCTGCATTGCTCCCCTGGGCTGGGCCTTCCTCTTCCCCTGCCTCAGCAGCCCAGGCCCCTCACGTTCCCTGACTTTGGGCTCCCTTTCTCTTTCCAGGTATGAGAATGAGCTGGCCCTGCGCCAGAGCGTGGAGGCCGACATCAACGGCCTGCGCAAGGTGCTGGACGAGCTGACCCTGGCCAGGACTGACCTGGAGATGCAGATTGAAAGCCTGAACGAGGAGCTGGCCTACCTGAAGAAGAACCATGAGGAGGTGAGAGCGGCTGGAGGCTTTGGCTGGTGGGAGGCAGAGCAGGGCTGCTGCGCCTCCCCAGAGCTGGCTGAGGGTTTAGTGGTTCAGAAATGCACCCTTCCCGCAAAAAAAATGTTTCCAGGGACAGAAAAAGTCACTGTTCTCTGGTGTTCTGGCCAGCCACGAACTACTGTCTTGGTTTGTTTCAGGAACTCAAATAAAGATCCTAGTCTCTCCAGTCCTCCCTCGGTAGGACCTAGAGCAGGAAAGAGGTCCTCAGAGCTCAGGGGTCCATGGCATCAAACCTTTTTTTGTTGCAATGGGAAACAGAGGGGGTGGCATGTCATGGTCACATCTTGAATTAGGGACAGAGCCCAGATTGCCCCATCAGGACCCCAGACTCTTGACTCTCTCTTCTGCCCTTTGTCTCTACTGGGCTTCCCCCACCCACAGGAGATGAAGGAGTTCAGCAGCCAGCTGGCCGGGCAGGTCAACGTGGAGATGGACGCAGCACCCGGTGTGGACCTGACGCGCATGCTGTCTGAGATGAGGGAGCAGTACGAGGCCATGGCGGAGAAGAACCGCCGGGATGCTGAGGCCTGGTTCTTCAGCAAGGTGGGCCTGGCCTCCCTGCCCTGCCCCTTCCCAGCTTCCCACTCCCCAGGTCTCCGAGGAGGCCCCTGGGGCTGACATTTCTTGTGTTTGACCCATAGACCGAGGAGCTGAACAAGGAGGTGGCCTCCAACACTGAAATGATCCAGACCAGCAAGACGGAGATCACGGAGTTGAGGCGCACCATGCAGGGGCTGGAGATCGAGCTGCAGTCCCAGCTCAGCATGGTAGGGCCACCCGCATCTCATCTCACTCTGAGCCCTCAGTGTCAGATCCTCCCATCCTCCATGGCTGGTGAAGCCCTGAAGTTCTCAAGCCCCCTTGGAGGTGGCTGCCTGCATTCCCTTCCATTCCTCTGCCCCCACGCCCTTGGTGGGTTCCAATGTGTCTATGGATCTGTTGCTCCATCAGAAAGCCGGACTGGAGAACTCATTGGCGGAGATCGAGTGCCGCTATGCCACACAGCTACAGCAGATCCAGGGGCTCATCAGTGGCCTGGAGGCCCAGCTAAGTGAGCTCCGCTGTGAGATGGAGGCTCAGAGCCAGGAGTACAACATGTTGCTGGACATCAAGACTCGGCTGGAGCAGGAGATCGCTACCTACCGCAGCTTGCTTGAGGGCCAGGATGCTAAGTAGGGGTTTGGGCATGGCGGGAGGAGGGCTGTGATGCAGGGTCATCCTAAGAGGACAACAGGGTATCCCAAGGCAGCTGTATGATACAGTGAAAAAAGAACTGAACTAGGAGAAAAAGGTCTGGACTCTGCTCTGGTCTCTGGCTGTGACCTTGGGCATGTCATGCTACCTATCTGGACCTGTGCTTCTCCTGTAAATGATGGAGGTGGTGCTAGCGGTCTCTAAGATTTAATGCTTGTTCCATTCTCTGTGTGAAGTAGATGGGTTATTACTATAGATCAGAGGGTTCTAGCTTGTGGGTGGCAGGTCTAAAGGATGTAAGGATGTCTCAGGCTCTAGAGAAGGTGGGAGGGGGCTGGAGAGGACCACTTAGCCGTCCCCAGCAGCTTCTCTTGGGGAGAGCAGGAGTTTTACCCTCTGCTTACATCTGCTTCCCCTCTCCTTCAGGATGGCGGGCGTTGGCATCAGGGAAGGTAGGTGCAGGGTGGGGACTGGAGCTATTGAAGCCACTGTTGCCCTTGGAATGGGGAGGACAGAAAAAGGGACCAAACACCCAGTGGGGCAGGGAACTCCCATCCCAGGATGCACACCTTTCCCAGTGGGACCCTTGACTGGTCCCAGGTAGGGTGGAGGTTGGGGATTTACTGAGACCACTCCAGGCTGAGCAGGCTTTATCCAGGGCTGCTCTCTCCCCCAGACCCAGCCTTTCTGCATGGATGGTGAGATGCCCACGATTTCTCCTGTTCACTGGCAGCTTAAAAATCCTGCATTATTGCTCAGAGCTGGCATACCTGCCATTGCCGTTGCTCATGTCTTTGATGAATAATTCAATGCCAGACCTCCTGGCAGCTCGGACAGGATTGGCCAGTGGCCATTTGCAGGGGTGCTGTCCAGTTTTCCCACAGCTTAGCCTGGGTCCTGGCCACCTTTGGAGAGAGAGGGCAGGTTCCTTCATGCTAAAACTTGCTCCTTCTTTCTGCAGCCTCCCTGGGAGGTGGTGGCAGCAGCAGTTTCCACATCAAGGTAGAGGAGTCAGTGGATGGAAAGGTGGTTTCCTCCCGAAAGAGAGAAGTCTAAGCACCCAGCAGGAGAGCAACGTTCCTTGCTATCAAGCTCCCCTTCCCAGGCTGAGTTGGGGACTGGAAAGCGAGAGGGGGCTGGAAATCAAACTCCGGTCCCTACCTTCAGAAAGCAACTGGCTGATGTATGTCCCTTCATTTCCTAGTTTGGGGCTTTGCATGTTCTCTCCCCTGTCTAATGCTCTGCACCTCCTTCCTGGCAAGGAGTGCAAGAAACAACTGTTTGGGGTAACAAGCTCATTGTATCGAGTTTATTCCTGCAATAAAGAACTACTTTTCCATTTGCAAGTATTTCTTGGTAGTGTGTCCAGTTTTTCTTGGTGGGGGTCTGGGTTGGCCTCTGGCCTCCAGGGAGGTCCAGGGTCCCCATATGCTGATATCTCTATCCTGTTGACCTCTTCCTTGCCCGCTCATGTGTAATTCGTTCTTTGAGGAACCCAGGGTTCTAGAGGCTAGAACCACAGTGCAGCTCAGGAGACTTGCTCTTCCATGGGGCACCGGGGAAGTGTGGGTGTCGGGTTCCCTCAGAGCAGTTTGGTGCATCTAGTACAGAACTTGACATGTCTAGTAATTATTTGCCAAGCGACAGGTTGAGCGTATTGTTCTGCATTGTGTGGCTGGTACTGTGCTATGCACGCTCGCCCACGTGTCCCACAGAGTACTCACCACTGGAGTAGAGGACCCTGAATTTGGAGAGATGAAGGATTTGCCCAGTGGCTTCATGGAAGGACGGTCAATGACAGGGCTGGACTGAGCCTCACATCTTTATGACTCTAGGACCAGTGCTTGCTCTAGGACCCTGGGCCATGGCCCTTCACCGTCTCTTGCAGGATCTTCTCCTGGCTTCTGCTTTTCCGTATGTGCTTCTCAGACTTCCCGTCTTTTCTAGCCAGGCACACTTGACCTCTAGGTTGGCTCTTTCTGTCTGCCACCCTGTAACAAGCTGGCCCTTGTGTCCCTCCAAACCTACACCTCCTTCTGAAGGGCACTTAAAGTGCCCAGAGGGGAAGATGCCAGATCTCCCAAGCTTAAGCCTGAAACAACATCAAATCCCACACTCTCTCTTGTCCCCAGACTCCTGAGGCCTGATAAAACAGCAGGGTCCACGCATGTCTGGTTCTTGCTTCTGGTCTGGGGCTGGTTTCTCTGAGCTCCAGGATTCATAGCCCTAAAGAGACAGCAGGAAGGGGGGGGGCAGAGAAGTCTGGGTGTCTCAGCTGGGCTGGGTCAGGCCCTGGGGCGAGGACTGGGGATGGGAAAGGAGAACCGGTTCCCTAGTCCTGCTGGAAGGAGCAGGTGGGAGGGGCCTCTTTGGAAAATCTGATCTTTTGGGGAAAGAACCCAGCCCTCCCAGAGGGTCACCATGCAATTTTCTGGGCAAAGGTGCTGCCCCAGAAAGTTTAGTAGAAGAGAGTCAAGGTGGTTCCAACTCTCTCTGGGATAGTTGGAAGGGGAATGTGCCTTCTGAGAGCGTGGAGGCTGGAGGGAGGCAAGAGTGTTCACAGTAAGCCAGGCCCCGGGCGGGCTTTTCACAATGGCATCTCATTAGTTCTCCTATGACCCTGGGAGGGGGATGTCAACCTTCAGCATAGTTTCAGAAGAGAGGAAACTGAGGCTTGGGGGAAGTTAAGCAACTTGAATGAGGGCCACAAATGAGAAATGGCAAAACTGGGTCTGGGACATGTCTCTGATTCCAGAACCTTTTCTTTCCCTTGATGTCATCAAGTGGCAGAAGCTGCAAGAACTTTCTTTAGAAGGTGTGCTGATCTGAAAGCCATTCTATTTTTTTTTCCCTTTGGGTACAGGGATTAAACCCAGGGGTTCTTAACCACTCAGGTACATCCCAGCCCTTATTTTTATTTAGAAACAGAATCTCCCTGAATTGTTTAGGGCCTTGCTGAGGCTGGCTTTGAACTCGTGATCCTCCTGCCTTAGCCTCCGGAGCCACGAGGATTATAGGCGTGCGCCACTGCTCCTGGCCTGAAACCCATTCATAACCTCTGGAGCATCCTGTTCAAATGCTGCCCTCACATCTCATTTTTGCCTCCCATGATGTGGTTTAAGCTCATGCTGAAGCTCCAGACATCAGCTGCAATGTCCCTCATGTCCAGGGAAGAGTGAGGCTCTGTTCCAAGCCTTCTATGGTCCCAGGTGGTAGAAGCTGGGGACTTGGTAGCTGCTCTGCCTCATGAGCCTTTGGACTCTTGGGCAGGTCTCAGCCCTCTGAGCGGCCAGCAAGCATATTCTCCCCCTTCAGTTTGCAAAAATAACAACCTCTGCAAAAGATGCAGCGAGGCTAGGGAGGACTCAGCCTGTGGGCCGTCAACGTGCCTTCTCTCAGAACCGGACCCTGAATTGGGGGTCTGAGGGGAAGCTGTTTTCATCTCCCTGGAGTGCCTGTTTCTGCTCTCCTGAGACCCCTAGAGGAATTATCAAAGAGGTCCTTGGAACCTGCCAAATCCTGTCCCCAGCCTGACCTGGAGTGAAATGCCTGTATCCAGGGATGGCCTACTCCCTGTGGAGCCCTTAAATAGTCTCTGAGAGGACATGGCACACCTTCTGCCTGCCCTGGGCTGAGGCCAGGCTTGGGTTCCAGCCAATCTGGAAAGCAGGCAGCAGGCGATGCCCCCTCCCTTCCCCACAGAAAGAGGGCAGCTTTGGGACTAGAGATTAGAGCCCTGGGTGTGTCTCTGCTTAGGCGGGGCTTCCCAGAACAGGCATGGGGCAGGCCTGCCACTGTCTCCCTGGGGACCTCAGCTGGACCCTGCCCCTCTTTGGACCTCAGTTTCCCCATCTGTAAATTGAAGAGTCTTGCCAGACAAGATGACCGTTAAGCTCTCTATGAGACCACTTGTGCCCTGGAACCTCAGGGAGTAACCTGGACTGTGAGGTGTGTCACCGCAGGCACTGTTCTTGCCGAGTCCTTGGAGCGGGTGCTGAATCCATGTGTGTTGAAATGAGACATGAACTCTCTTCTCCTTTGCATTTTCCAGCCAGATGGCAGGACATACTCTAGTAACTTAGGCATGTGCCCACCTGGTGGTCACCTGTGCAGGCAGCTGGCAGCAAGAGAGCTCGTCTCCTGAGATTTGGAGCTGGGGTGACCCCTTGGATGCCACTTCTGTTTGTCATTTCTTCTCACCTACACCCACTAGACAAACAGTCCCCCAAACAGCTTCCTGGACACTCATCAAGGGCTCCCCTATGCCAGGGGTAGTATTTGGGGGTGCGTTTGACCAAGATCCTGTCCTCAGGGAACCTAACAGAGTGGGAGAAATAAAATAGGAATGTACTGTCATTTGTCTGGTGACTGTGGGTGCCACAGTAGCTGTGGGGACCACAGAAGGAAGGAGGCAAAGCCTTCTGTCAGGGTGGAGGCTCAGAGGATTCTCTGGTCATCTAATAACAATGAGCTTGTGTTTCCTCATTGTAACAGGGAGGTGAGATGGAGCAACCCTCCACCTGCCCAGTGCCTCCTGAATCTCAGGTATTTGAGAGGCATCAAATACTAACTCATCTAATCCCCATTTTTCAGTTGTGGCTGTGGAGGCACTGAAAGGTTGAGTAACTTTCTCAAGGTCACATAGCAAATCAGTGAAGGATTGAAACTCAGGTTCACCTCATCTTTGCTGATCTTGCTCTTTTTTTTTGGGAAGCTCAGGTGATGTAAAAGGGATTTAAGAGTTGGGTACGGTAGACCTGCAAGGGCCTACGGCATTAAGGCTGGTCTGAAATGACTTCCAAGTAGCTCTGTGCCAAGCAGGTGTTTTTGAGGAGAGGGTGCTGCCCAGAAGGCCTGCCTGTGGAGGGGCTGCCTTTCAGTAGAGGCCTCTCCCCTGTGGGGAGCCTCAAGACCATTTGGGAAGTGGGTCAGGCATACTGGGTTCTAGACCTTGAGTTCAGGGAGAGAGGGAGGGAGGAGCCTGCCCCAAACGAGAGTCTCTGCATTATGAGCTGGGGGACAGGGTTCAGATGAACAACCTGGCAAGTATGGGCATATCTTTGAGAGCCAGAGACTTGGGAAGGCAAAGTACTGATGGCAACTCAGATACCAGTAAGGCCCACGTTGAGCTGGAGCTGGCGGCAGAGTTAAGGACCCAGGTATTTGGGAAGCAGGACCACCCACTGGCCAGGCTTTGGGTGCTGTCGAGGCTGGAGAATGGAAAAGGCAGCAGAGGATGCCCTGGCTTGGGTGGGGATGGTGGGAGCACTGGCCTGAGCGTGGTTTACAGGCAGTAGTTACGATGCAGACCACGGAGTCAGAGGTTCGAATCTTGCTTTGACTCAAATGAGCTTTCAAGTTTGAGCCGTGTATTTAACGTCTCTGGGCTTCAGTTTCCTCATCTGCACGAAGGAGACGATAAATAGAGTTGCTTTGAAATTAGATCATGCACACACAGGGTTGATCATAGCGTTCCATGAATGTTGGCTTGTGCCCTTTCTATTATCTTTGAACATGTATGGAAGGTGAATGTAGCAAAATCAAACTGCTTTTCCTGCTCCTCTTACTTCGCCCTTAACACAGAACACTCCTGTGACCCAGCGTGTGGGTTTTCCCCACATCTAGCAATTTTCTGACAACAATGAGGTGTCCCTCAAGGCAGTTCAATTCTGACAGTAACCAGAGTTAGTGTGGACCCCACAGGTTGGGGGCTCCATCCCACAAAGACTACTCCTTGCTTCAGATGCTAATTGCAAGTAGTTGGTTCCCAGGTTGCTCATCGCTTCAGTCCAATTTGGGCTGCATGTCACAGGTCCCCAGGACCTCTTTCTTGGGTTTGATTATTTGGTAGGATAGCTTACAGAACCTAGGAAAACAGTGTGCTCACTCTTGCCAATTTATTATAAAGGTTGCTTTAAAGGAAGCCAGAGGAAAGGATACATAGGTGAGGTTTGGAAGGGTCTCAGGTATAGGAACTTCTGTCCCCACAGTGTTGGGGCCTGCCACCCTCCTGCTTCTTGTTCATTAGGCTGGGAACTCTCTGAACCCTAGCTTAGGGATTTCATCATGAAGGCAGGATCAATTATTAACTTCATCTCTGGCACCCCTCCCTTCCTGAATGATGGAGGGCGGGTGGGGCTGAAAGTAATTCTAGTGAACAGCTGCCTCTCCAGGAGACCACTGGTATACACCTTGTGAGAACCAAGGGTTTAGGGGCTCTGTGTCAGAGATTAGGGCTGAAGACCAAATAGTAAAACAAATGATGCTCCAGCACCCCTATCACTCAGGGAATTATTAGGAGTGATAGGGGTGATATTAGGTTTAGGAGCTCTGTGCCAGAGACTCAGGATGAAGACCAACTGATATACCTATTTTATTATATATCATAATATCACAGAAATACACAGGGGTTGATCAATCTGAGTTCATGGCCAGGCTACCAAGATACCATTAGGAAGGGAGAGGTGGAGAGAGAGAGAGAGAGAGAGAGAGAGAGAGAGAGAGAGAGAGAGAGAACAGATTTACATTTTGACTGACTTCATTGTAATCTTGGACAAGGGACTTGCCATCTCTGAACCCCAGATGTCTCATCTAAAATCAAGGGGCTAATAAAACCTGCTCCTATCACTGCGGGTAAAGGACAATGTGTTAAGCATGGGCATGAATGTAGTTTTCCCATGAAATGTCATTGGGGAGAGGACTGGATTTGGTGTCACTCTCCCAAAAGGCAGAGCACAGAGCTTAAGCATTGCTTCCATTAGGTGCGGGGTGGGGAGAGGGAGTCCCTGCTCGGGAGGGTGGGGCTGTGCCCTGACCCTGGAGTGGAGGCATGCCATGGCCACCCCCCGTGTTTGTTCTGCTGGGTTTTGGAGGATCTGTGGCATTGTAACCCAGAGAGGCGTTGGCCCTAACCTGTTTGTCCGCCCAGGGAGGATTGGGGTATTGTCACCCCAGGCCTGGCAGGTTCCATTAATCTCCTTCTTGTCAGTTTTGATCCTCTACTGAGAGAGCCAGGGTTCTTTCTCGGGGCTGAATCACACCTTTGCAGAGAGCTGAGCCATCAGCTTGAAGCAGGAGGGCTGGCAGGGTGAGGGGTCAGCCCGAATCCTGACTCAGCATGGTGCTGGAGCACCCCAGCCTACCCACCCTCTCTCCCTAGCACTGCCAGCTGCCCCCTGGGTGAACGCAGGCCTGCTCCCATATCCCAGAACACAAAAGGCAAGACCCAGATCTCTCTTTTCTGGTCTTGCTGAGCCAGAGAAGGGGGCTCCAGGGTAGCCTCATGCCTGAGCCACCACACCCCAGTCCTTGGTCTGGTTCTGAACAGACCCTTGTGGCTGTTCCTGGGAGGCCATCCATGGCGACCATGGCCCCTGGTCCCAGGCTTCTCTTTTTCAGCCCTGGAAACTTCTATTCTGGGCTCTGAGAAGCCACCCCAAGTCCTGTTCTTCTGGCCTGAACGGTGAAGCTCCTTTCTGGGATGTTACTAAGTGTCTCTGAGTGTTTAAGCCACATCCTGGGTCCCAGAAGAGACCCTGGCCCTAGGCCGTGGGTCACATCTTCCTATGTGGCCTCTTAGTCAAACACAAACTGAGAAAGATGTCATGTGAGAGGGCCCTGCTCTGGAATGAGAAGACCTTATTTCTGGATTTGGCTGTGCCTCCAAGGCAGTTACTATAATGGGAGAGTCAACCCAGGCTGGTCAACCCTGACTCTATTGACCTTTTTGGCCAAATAATTCTTTGCTGTGGGGATTTTCAGGTGCGTTGTAGGATATTTAGCAGCATCCCTGGCTTCTACCCCGACCACCCATTCTAAGTAACATTCCCCTAGTGTGACAAACAAAATGCCCCTAGACATTGTCAAGTGTCCCCTGGGGAGCAGAATAGCCCCTGGCTAAGAACTTGTGAACTGATCTCTGGTAACAGAAGTGGGAAGAAGAGTGGTTACCTTAGGGGTGGGGTATGGGTAACAACTGGGAAAAGGTACAAGGAGATTTATGAAGGGCTGGAAAGTTCTGGGTGGTGCTTGCACAGGACATGCGTAGGCAAAAATGAATCAAGCTCGACGCTAATGATTTATATACTTTACCGTATGAAAAATATACCTAAAAATAAGTCTTAGTGTTAGGCAGAACAAGATTTGGGGGTCACTTCTGATCCTACCCTCAAAGCTTTTTTTTTTTTTTTTTTTTTATAAAAGGGGGGAATATAGGACCCACCTCCTGCTTACTGAGTGTAAAGCACTCAGCTCCGTGCTTACGTGTGGTAAGGGCTCCAAGGACATCGGCTATTACAACGTGCGGGATCCCTTCCTCTTTCAGTGCCTCAGTTTCCTCACCTCTTTTTGATCCCTGAGGTCCTCAAAGGCCTCTTGTCACAGCCACTTTTTCTGATGGTCTTTGCGGCATTTCTTAGTCAACCTAAATACATTCGAGGCAGTCGATTCTATGAGACCAACAAAGTTTGCCATCAGAGTTGCTGGGAGCACGGGTATAGACAAAGTGCTAAGGAGGATTCAGAATATTTCATTCAGAAGTTTGAGCACTAGGAAGAAGGGAGGCTGAGGGCTGCGGTGACCTTCCACAGCACGGGGCCATCGGCAGCCACTCAATGCCCATTCTAACACTGGGTGGGGCTGACAGCCTGCAGAGTGAGCGTCTTACAGGACAGGTGAGGTAGAATTCGGTTGTCAAGGGGTAGTCTCAAGCAGAACACCGTTCCCGCTGAATCATCCCTTTTGTGTTAAGGATTAAAAAAAAAGCCACCCCAAAATGTGCAACCCACCCCGGAGAGCAGAGGCAACGGGTCCTGTGGGAATCGAAGTGCAGTTGGCACTAAGTCAGAGGGTGGGGAAGGGAGGAGAGAGGAGGACCCACCTCCACGTAGGGTGCATAAAAGGCACCCGCACCAGGGAAGAGCCATCGTCCTGGGCTCAGGCCACACCAAGCTCCTGTCTGCACCTGCTCTCAATCTTGCTCCCACCATGAGCTGTCGCCTGCAGAGCTCCTCCACTAGCTATGGCGGTGGTTTCGGAGGTGGCTCTTGCCAACTGGGAGGGGGCCGCAATATCTCCACCTGTTCTACTCGATTCGTCTCTGGGGGATCCGCTGGAAGCTATGGGGGCGGCATGAGCTGTGGCTTTGGTGGCGGAGCTGGTAGTGGCTTTGGAGGTGGTTATGGAAGTGGCTTTGGTGGAGGTTTTGGAGGTGGCTTTGGTGGTGGCTTTGGTGACTTCGGTGGTGGCGATGGCGGCCTCCTGTCTGGCAATGAGAAGATCACCATGCAGAACCTCAACGACCGCCTGGCCTCCTACCTGGACAAGGTGCGGGCCCTGGAGGAGGCCAACGCTGACCTGGAGGTGAAGATCCGAGACTGGTACCAGAAGCAGAGCCCTGCCAGTCCGGAACGTGACTACAGCCACTACTACAAGACCATCGAGGAGCTCAGGGAGAAGGTGAGGCCTTGATGCCAAGGTTGCCTGGGACAGAGCAGACCCTTGGAGGTCAGGACACAGAGTCCCTCGGGGTCTGGGTGTGGATGGAATTCACACCCTCCTTGTAGAGGAAGATTCTAGTTCTTCACCATCGACAGTCTCTACTCCTGGTGGGCTTTCTCACGCCATGACTTCTTAAACGCATTTTCTCCCATGATTCATGTTTCTTGATGTTGTTACTCATGTCAACATTTTTTTTTTTTATGGCTTCTCAAACAGTTATGTTGTTAGTGACTGGATCTCTGTAATCCTAACTCATTGAGTTCTCTGGAAACATGTCAGCTTTAAAAGCTACTCTGAATGACTAAAATCAACAAAGAAAAGGAGACATGTTCGTTCGTCGTTCTGGGAATAATTGTTTATTTTGGAGTGATCCTGTTTAAACTCCTGTTGTCAATTGGCAACCACAAAGTGGTGGGAAAGAGGCAGAGGCTTAGGAAGTGGTGGCGTGAGGCCTGTTCATCACTCTGTGACACCAGCTTGTCGGAACAAAAATCCACCAGCCTGGGCTGAGCCCCAACTATGTGGGGTGGGCTGGAAGTGCTTTGGCGTATAAAGAGCAAGAAATTCTGAGGGATGGGAATAGTTGCTTGATTGACCCTATCCTCAGCTGGGAATCCAGCTTCAGGGTCATTACTAGGCGATACATGGAGCACACCGAATCCCTTCTGACCTTAAGTAGGAGGCTCTCAAGACAGTGGCCGGGGAGGTGGCAGGTCTGAGACTGTCAGGACATGACTACCTGATGATGTGCTCAGGGGGACAGATCTCCCCCATCATGATCAGACAGGGAATACTACTATGACAGAAGGGAGCTGGCCTCACCCCTCCCTTTATAGAGGAGAAACTGAGGCCCAGAGAGAAGTGTCTTGTCTCAGCTCAAAGACAGCGAAGAGGCAGAGTACTGCCCTTGTTTTGCTCCCTAAGTGTGTGGACCCTCCAAAGGTGACCTTCTGTATTTTGCAGATCCTGGCAGCCACCATTGATAACAACAGGGTCGTCCTGGAGATTGACAATGCCAGGCTGGCTGCTGACGACTTCAGGCTCAAGTGAGTTGATTTCCCTCTCTCGTTCCCGGCTGTCTCTTATTTTAGACAAATGCTGAGCTGACTGAGGACCCTGGAACATCTGGGGGTGAAGGCCTTGGAGGGGGAGTAGAGTCCGGCCCAGGGAAAAGGGCGGGTCTAAGATCATTTATGTCTCGTTTTAAAAGAATTGTTTTAATATTTCAGGTATGAGAATGAGCTGGCCCTGCGCCAGAGCGTGGAGGCCGACATCAACGGCCTGCGCAGGGTGCTGGACGAGCTGACCCTGTCCAAGACTGACCTGGAGATGCAGATTGAAAGCCTGAACGAGGAGCTGGCCTACATGAAGAAGAACCACGAGGAGGTGAGGGGGGATGCCAAGCCTCCAGACCAGTGAGACAAAGGCAGCCCTCTGCTGCAGTAGGACATAGCCCTTCACTGTGGCACCTGGAAGCACTTTCTAGAACATTCCATCAGCTCTCAGAGCAAGGAGGGGGAGGAAGAGGAGCTCCACACATCTTCCTTTCCCTTCATCATAGGAGATGAAGGAGTTCAGCAACCAGGTGGTAGGCAAGGTCAACGTGGAGATGGACGCCACCCCTGGCATTGACCTGACCCGTGTGCTGGCAGAGATGAGGGAACAGTATGAGGCCATGGCAGAGAAGAACCGTCGGGATGCCGAGGAATGGTTCCAGAGCAAGGTATTAGCCCTCCTACCCCCCAGGTCACCAGGCAGTGCCAGGTGGACATGGCCTCTTGGTCAGGAGCACATAGGTGGGCTCCTGCATCCCTTTCTTCCTGCTTGACTTTCAGAGTGCAGAGCTGAACAAGGAGGTGTCCTCCAACGCCGCCATGATCCAGACCAGCAAGACAGAGATCACAGAACTCAGGCGTACACTGCAGGGTCTAGAGATCGAGCTGCAGTCTCAGCTGAGCATGGTACCTGTCCTGCCCCTGGCCAGCAACCACCACCTCCAATTCTCCCTTCAGTCTGGCTTTCCTCCCATAACACTTTTTTTTTTTTTTTTTTCTCCACCAGAAAGCTGGGCTAGAGAGCACCTTGGCCGAGACGGAGTGCCGCTACGCCCTGCAGCTGCAGCAGATCCAGGGCCTCATCAGCAGCATCGAGGCCCAGCTGAGTGATCTCCGCAGCGAGATGGAGTGCCAGAACCAGGAGTACAAGATGCTGCTGGACATCAAGACGCGGCTGGAGCAGGAGATCGCCACCTACCGCAGCCTGCTCGAGGGCCAGGACTCCAGGTAGGTCCCTCGGCAGCTGCTGTCTTGGGAAAGTTGCTGCAGGATCCCTGATGTCAGAGCAGTCGGGGCTTTAGAGACCGACTCTCTCTTGGCAGAGAGGGGATTGCTCCTGTCTGAGCTTAAGGAGCCTAGAGGGTACCAGGACTCCCCTCTTCTCTCCAATCAGACAAGGGGCCTTTCCTCCATTGGCTGCCAGTCAGTACTTTTGAACATTCTAATTCAGGCCTTCAATTGGACAGGCAGGACTAGGGACGTGGAGGGAACATCTGATACGGGAAAACTTTAGCTTGGATGAGCCCAGCCCAACAAAGCTATTTGGATAGTGATCTAAGTGCCATCAGACCATTAGCAGAGACCAAGCCATCCCTGCGGGCTCAGGGGGCAGGTGGAGGTGGGGGTGAGGGTGCTGAGTGAACCAGAGGGAGGCCAAAGCTTCTGGAAAACATTCTGAATCTTGGGGACAATAATATTTCCTTTGGAGAGCTCTCAGGCAGACAAATGGAGAGATAAGAGAGTCAGAGAAGCAGGTAGGCCTCGTGGACACCTGATCCTACTGCTCCCTGGGCTGGGGACACTGCTAGGACACAAGTGAACTCAGGGCTCCAAATGATGATCTGAGCCACTCCATCAGAGGGACAGGTAGGCGCCTGACCTGGGTTATCCTCTGTTTATGGCGGTCTCTTTCTTCTCCCTTGCAGGATGACAGGCCCCCCTGCCTCTGGAGGTAAGGAGACAGCATCGTGGGGAGCTGGAATAAGGCTCCTGATTATTGGGGACCAAGGGGAGGCAGTGCTCACTCATGAGTTCAGGGAGGGGGTGGAGCTGGAGAGGAAGTGGTCGGTTACTCACCTAATTTATTTTCCCAAATAGATGACTTGTCCCATAGAGCTACTGGGCTGTCTGGGAAAAAAAATCACCACTGGGGGCAATTATCAAAGTCCTTATCAAACACCTCCTGCCTAGGAGTTTGTGAACCTTCTTGGTGACCCTGGTCTGTGGGTCATCTCCATACTAAGTCTCTCCTGTTTCCTTTGTCTTTCAGTAAATGGCAGCACTACCAGTCCTACCCCAGCCTCCAGTCGCCGTGTCTTTTCAGACTCCAATACTGCCCGGAGGTCTTAATTCTGCCCGGCACCCCCTCCCTCTGCCTGCAGCAACCACTGGAGGAGAAACCTGATGGGTCCCCACAGGAGAGCGGGGGACTGCAGGATTGGAGGCCAGTCCCTCCTCCCAGGACCCCCCGCTGCCCCACACCGGACACTCCCTGCGGGTGGACACTCCCTGCTCTTCTCTCCCTGTTGGCCTCCTCCCCACCCCCAGCCCCCACCCTGTACTGCCTGTTCTTTCCTTTCTCAACTTCTCTACTAAAAAGAAGAGATGATTCAATAAAGTTTCCTGGCTTTTTGCAAATGCACTTTTGATTCTGATCTGGTTTTTTGAAGGTAATCCCTGCGAGGGCCCTGATCTGGGGGCCACAGGGGAGTTGGGTAGGGTTGGGCTGAGCAGCTAACCCAGACCCTGTCAGGGGCAGGAGCCTCCCATCTGAGAAGGACATGAGGCATGTGGGCCCCTGAGCTCACAGGTGCAATGATGGCAAACACGGAAGGTAGCTCCCAGAGAGTGGTGTCCAGCAAACGTGGACAAATGGAACGCACCCAGGTGGGCAGGAGCCCCCAAACCTGTGGATAGCCTGCTGTGGAGGCGGCAAACGGGTTAGGGTAGAGTTGGGGGATGGGGAAATGTTGGGGGAAGGTAGAGAAGGCTCTGGGTATGTCCCAAGGGGCCCAGTCATGCGGTGGTTTGGGGAGGAGGAGGCCTGGGACAGGGATCCCAGCCTGCTGCCTCCCTGCTTCCTGCACAGAACCTCCTTTCAGGCAAATGGCTTTATTTTGGCTGGAGGCACCTAGGCCTGCTGTCCTCTCCGAGGTCCTGCAACTCCAGACCACTCAGGGAACCAGCTCAGGACCCACCACTCACGGAGGGGCTCAGCCTGCGCTGACCTCCCCTGCCACTCTCTGTGCTCTGCTCTGTCCTGCCCCTCTGGGTGTCTGACTCAGAGTCACAGCCTCCCCTGGCTGTGCTGGCTCCTTGCATGCTGACTTGTCCCCTGGATTCTGTCATAGATGTTTTTTTCTCTTTTCACTTTCCCCTTGGGCCACCCTGGATGAGTCCAATTACCCACATGTTCTAATGACCCCCAAGCCTGGATCTCCACCGAGGCCCCGCTCAGCTTCAGATCCACCTGCCCAAATGTGTGGGGGACATTGCCTCCTAAAATCCACATGTCCAGGATACCCCTGTCACCCTCCCATCTCTGTCCCTTTCTGGCTCCTACTCCAGGGACCTGCAAACCCCAGCAGAAGCCAGCAGGCCCCCTCACACCCTCCACAGTCCCTCCCATGGATGTTTTGGCTATGACACCCTTCCGGGTCCCGGCGCACTGGACATGTAGCCACAACCCCCTTTCTGGCTTCCCTGCCTCGGGTTTGACCTTCCCCTTTCTCCAGGCTCCATACTGCAGTCAGGGTGACTGTTTGAAACTCAAAGTCTTCTTCCTGCTCAAGATGCCCCCAAGGCCTGGCTTGCTTCCCTGGCCCCCTCCTCCCTCCCTCCAGCCCTGGCTCTGGCACCAACCTCCCCAGCACACCCCAAATTGTGCCCCCCGAAAAACTACTCTTGTTGAAGCAGCCACAGGCTGGATGTTGGGGACCCTTGTTCCAGTGTCCTCAGTCTGATCTAAGCTTCCTCCTTCCTCCTCTTCCTCTCCACATCCTGTCTTTATTTTATTGGAGACCGCTAGGTTTTTATTTCAGATTCAGACAGAGATGGACACCCTCCTCCACGGCATCCAGCTGCCGTGGGGCACACTTGGGTGCTCACATGCCCATAGCCACTGGCCCCCACGTCCACAGTGGGTGACGGAGCTGTCTCCTCATCATGAATTCGAGCAGCCTGCTGGAGACAGGGGCTCAGCCAGTGCTTGTTAAAGGAAGAGATGTACAAAGGAACTGGGAAACTACTTCTCAGGTGTCCTTTGAATTTTATCATGGAGTTTTAGGCCAGAGGGTGGGAGGTCTTTTCTGGCCTTTCCCACACCTCCCAGCAAGGCCCCCTGTGCTGATGGCCATCGGATCAATGATGGGAAGAGGTTTGAGGTTCTGCAGCCACCCGACCTAGTTTGTATCCCAGCTCTGCCGCTTGCTCCATTTGTAACCCTGGACAAAGTATGAATTTTCCTGCTAAGTGCTACTTCCCCAATAGGTTATTAAGGGCAAGCACTTAGAACAGTCCCTGGCACAGAGTAAGTGCTCAATAAACAATACCTCTGGTCGTTTCCTTTCTGGTTCGCTTTGTTAACCTGTGAATTCCTGCAGGGCAGGGACGATCTCAAGGGTCATCTATATCCTCATTCCTAGCATGTTTTAGGAGCTGAATAAAGGCATTGTATGGAGGAACTAGGGAATGAACAAACAGAGGCTACAGGAAATAGAAGAGGTGAGCAAGCGCATCTACTGAGGGCACCAAGAGAAGGAGCGCCTGCCCCAAACAGAGGAGTCTGTGTCCTCAAAGCTGAGCCACCAGTGGCATGTCCAAGGCAGCCTGGGGTTCTGTTCCCAGTCCTCGCTGGTCCTGGAACAGACCGAGGACCCAGGCTGAGACTACTTAGGGTAGCCCCACCCTCTTCCTGAGCTGGCGTTGGGAGCACACTGGGTGTGAGGGTAGCTGTTCATGTGGAGAAATGGCATGAGCTGGACGCTAGGTCTGGTGGGACTCTGGCCTGGGGGCCTTTCTCACAGGCCTGAGGGAGGATGCTGAGAGGTTGGATCCATCTGAGGACTTCTGTGGCCATCAGGGTCCTGGGGAAGCTGGGTGAGGCAGGCTAAGAGCAGGCCTTGGTCCAAAGGTCAAAGCCATCTCAGGAGTTATCCTGGCCTGGGCGAAGGTGGCGGCTGGCCCAGCTCTGGTCTAGGAGGCAGGAGAGGCAGGACACGGGAAATCCTGCCTGTCTGTCTAGGACTTAATCTCTCCCCTTAGTCACCCTCATGGGGCAGCCATTTGAGGAAGGACAGATGGGTCATACTTGCTGGGTCAATACTGCCACTCCCCAGGGGTTGTCCTAGGTACAAAGGCCACCCCAGGTTCACAGCACTGCCTCCCAGTGGTGCAGGTATGAGTGAACAGCCTTGTCCCATGGGCTGCTGACTCACGTCTGTGTCAGCGAGCGTGGATGAGGGCACAACAATGCATGAGATGCCAGGATGGAGAGGATCGGGGCAAAGGGGAGCGACATGCCCCTAGACTGTTCGCCCCGCAGAGCTCCTCAGGATTGATTTCGCATCTTTAAGAGGATCCCACGAGTTTGGCACCATCGTGTCCATTTCACACACAGAAAGACTGAGGCCCAGACTGGTTCATGGACCTACCTAGTGCACGAGTTGGGATCCCAGGTTCCAATGTGAGACGGTGCTGGGCCCATTGTCTAGGGTCACGTGTTCAGTTCCAGGAGTCTGATCAGCCAGGGGATGTTCCCCTGGTGTCCAAGCATCTAAGTGCTAGGTCATGTTTAGGAGGGAAGAGTTGGACACACAGCAGGTGTGGTACCAAGGTGGTGCCACCACCTGTGGTTAAACGCTGGGCTGCTTCTGGGGCTCCTGGCTCCTCCCCCACCTTGAGCAAATGGTGCCTCCCTGTCCGTGAGGCTCCGCCCCACTGTGGTTTAATGGGCCAGTGCACTTCTGTCCTTCCCATGGGGTTGTCTGTTCTGCCCTGGCCCTGCAGAGGGCAGACTCAGGCCAGAAAGCTGGGACCCAGGGTGGAGGATCCGGGGCCCTAGACCTGGTCCTCACTAGGCCTGGTTCCAACAGGAGGCCCCGTGTCTGTCCCCAGAGTTGGGCAGGGCAGCTAGGCACTTGGAGAGCAGGGTGTGGCTGAGGGCAGGGTTCCAGGCCTGAGACCCCTTTGGTGCCTGTTGCCCCTCTGTTTTGGCTGACAGCTTTGAGGGTCTATAAAGACTCCGTAAACCGTGTGAGTGCCCGGGCCTTTCTGGTAAGGGAATGGACTCTCACCGAACCCAAGGGAAACCTGCAGGAAGACCAGGAGGCCATGTCACGCAGGGCTATAGTTG